TAGAACGCGGTGTCTTTCGAGGCGATCCATTTATCCACCCATGTTTGGACTTCGTTGTGACTGGAGAAGTGTGTGTCCGCAAGTGCGTGTTGCATCGATCGGAAGAGATGGTAATCCGACGGTGCCAAGTCTGGAGAGTACGCTGGATGCGAGAGAACTTCCCATTCAAGCTCTAGAAGTGCCTGCTTCACGTTTTTCGCGACACGCGGTCGAGTGTTATCATGCAACAAAATGACTTTGCGTCGATTGTTGGCTACGGATGATCTTTTTTGCATCAATTCGTCACTCAATCGGTCTTTGGAGTAACATTTACTGTTTCGACAACTCTAAAAGCGTTTGAGCTGAATTATCATCAAGCAATTCTTGCAGCTCGACATCTTCAAATTTTTTCGGCTGTCCTGGACGTTCTTTGTCTCTCACATCAAAATCACCGTTTCAGAAGCGTTCAAACCAAACTCTACATGTTCTTTCCGATGGAGTTTCATCACTATACACTTCAAATAAGCGATGCGCTTCAGCTGCGGTTTTCTTGAGGTCGAAGTAGTGAAGAAACACATGTCGGAAAAACAGCTTATCGCGATTCATTTTCAATCGATTGGAAAATTCTTTGGCGTCGAGAAATCTAACCTGTGAGGATTGAATCACTTTCAGCGATGTTCTAAACTACAAAAGACATATGACTTCATCGTCGAAACTCGCCAGCGTTGGAGCCGGCACCCTCTAACAGCGAGCGGCAGGAATTAAGTTAATACCTAATATTTTATGCGTGGTAAATATAAAATATAAGAGATAACGTACTCACCAATTATTAACTTGAAGGATCGTCAACCCTGTGTCCTGTGCCAACTGTTTTTTCTGGTCTTCCGAGGGATACGGATGCTGTAAACAGAAAAAGTAAATCTGCTCAATTAGCAATGAAATTGAGTATAAACGATCTCGCATACTCAAGTAACCATTAATACAACGGAAGTAAAAAACTCAGGTACCAATTAGCGCGAAATTGCCGGCAAAATTGCAATTATTACATATTAGTACAGAACAGTTGCGTTGAGCGTAATAATTAGTGGACATAAAATACAAGGGTAAATAAAAGAATTTCCTTTTTCTCGATCTCACTCTACCATCACTTTGCTGTTTCGCATCTCGCCGACGAACGTATGGCGGGTTTTGAAATAATTTATCAAGTAATTTATTGCACACTAAGATAAATATATAGAATACACAATGCGCCGCGTGCGCTGACTTTTATCTGCTTGATGACCCACGCATTGCGCTGTATCGTCTAAATGCACCTGCAAAATATTATTTATTGCTGGTCAACAAAATTAAAAAAAAAACAGGCATAGAAAGAGGAACAAGAGGAGGCGGTGAAAGAGACAGCAGTGTGGACAAAAAGTTCCTTTTATATATCGCGCGCTCCGACGACCGCTTTTTATCGCGCGATTGCATCGACGCAGATGCACTTGTGCTACGCCAAAATGATGGGCCAAGCACGACAAGCTCCTGCTTGTATTGTTCCTCTTTCCTAAAAGAGAAACTATACGAAAAAACACCGAAGAAATACAAATGATACTGACGTAGTACAGGAAATATGCAAAACAAAAGACTTTTAATTTCTTCCGAACTTATATATTGTATTATTCCACAAAAAAAATCTTCACGTTTTTTTTACATATTAATTGAATCAAATTTATTATTTATTTTGTATTTTTACGCATCAATTTCCGCGCCTGACTCCTGTTGCCCTTTTTCTTATTATTGAATTATTTTGAACGTTAAGGAATCTTTATTATTAATTTTTATTTTCTATATTTGTATATTATTATAAAATAGATTATTGTAGAAAGAGATAAAACTGCTTATTTAGAAAAAAATGTTAAAATATTAAATTAAACCAATAAAACACGCACGCACGCACACACACACACACACAGTACATAAAAATTATTTTTCTGTATCGTTAAATTTTTAACTGTCTCGTATCTATTGTATGAAATTTAGACAGGTAAATTATAATTGTTTCCGTTTGCCGAATATTTCATGTATTCAATGTTGTACTATGTGAGCCTATATAAATTCATGCAAAGTTCTAGCCGTTCTTCCAGAAAAGATACTACATGTAGTCGTAGAAAGAATAGAATCTTTCCGACATTATTATCATTCAATCCTATGCTAAGCTTTTGAAGGATGTATGACACGCACATGCAACGTTGCGCATCTGCATTCTACGTTAAGCTCGCAGTATCTTTGTTTTCGCTTATTAACCTTCGCAGAGTTTAAATTTTTTTTTATGTGTCACATCGGCAATCGCATTAAATAATTTGTCATAATAAAATCAAATTAATTAATTCGCTAGTATTAATTTGAATAAGCAATCACATACTTTTTTTAGTCTAAAAAACATCTTTGCTTTATAATTAGAGAACAGAGAAATAGCAAATCCAAATAAATTGATCTTTCATAACATCTACTTAAACAGGATAAAATCTTTGAGGTTGGAATTGAATAACACTCGTAGAAAAGCATTAAAAAACTGTGCACGCGATATATAGAAAACAGGCACCACTCAATTACGTTACACCTAGTAAGACATATTAATATTGCAGGTACATCTCAATTTTAATCTTGTATTAACCGCAATTATGAAATTAGACGAATGTAATCGTCACAAGTAAACAGTCCGCCGACAGTTGCGTTCCCAATGGAGACGTTTCTTCCGAAGACTATCCGCGACACGCGAGGGACATGTCAGTTAATTTTGAAATGTAGAAGAAAATTGAAAAAATCTCCTTTACCTTCTATTAAAAAATACTTTAGCATTGGTTTTATTGCTTTACATTTAACTTCCAAGATACAATTACAAAACATGTTCAAAGGAATAATCGTATTTATTGTAGACTCCTATGATACATTTACTATATAAAATTCAATATATTCATAAAATTAACGTTATGCAGTGTTAAGCAACAGACGATGCTTGTTCTGTGCCAAGTTATTGACTGGTACGAAAGGATCCGACTACGCATAAAAGCCAGCGGCTGCATCGCGAGCGAACAAACCGCATTATATTTTTACATAATTAGCACGTGGCGCCCGCGGTATTACACATCCTCCCTCCCTTTCGCTCTCGATCGTTACTTTTTACTGAAGCTTGTGGTATTTTTGGATACTGCCGCAGCCCACAAATCCATCCCCCAAGCCCCTCCTCAACCGACGCTGTATCATGTTTCTTGGAGGCGAGCCACGGTATATACATACATCAGAAGCGTGGCTCCGTTCCCCACCCGCCATCCCCGGTGCACCCCATTGTGCGCCGGTGTATATCCGATCCGAGCGATTCTTATCCTAATTAAATCGGCTGAGCGTATTGTCTGGGCGTAGAGTTTCCATCGGATCTCCGTGGATATCTAACGCCGCGTATAAAGCCGCGTTGAGCGGAGGATTGAGACGATCGCGCGGGCGCGGGGTCTCCGAGAGTACCATAACGATCCAACGCGAATCGATGCACGCTAAATTGCAGATTCGAGCGACATGATCAACGTACATATGTGGTAATATCGGCGATAGGCCGATTGGCAAGATGTGCGAATTTCATTCGATTATCGAAATTCAAATCAACTTATTGTATACAGATATATGTACATCTCATTGTCAGTTAATTTCCCCTTATTCTCCGTATAGTGATACAAATGATGAAAAGTTAATATATTTCGCAAGAATTTATATCAATATGTATCGTAAACACCTAAGTGCAAAGTATGCATTATTTTTAACGTTAACATGTATCATGAATAATGATTGAATATTATTAAATTTGCAAATGTGATAACAATCATCTATTTTACACTCATCGATCAACTCTCATCGATATTAAATGATCTCTGAATCATAGAAATATGCAACATTTCATAAAGCGATACCACAGTTTCTCTCTACGGTTCGACCTTCTCCAGAGATAAGTTGCTCGTAGGTTCGTTGGTGTATGCATAAAACAATCAAGATAATTGTCGAAGCTATGTGGGGACTGCCTGCTTTCCACCCTCCGTACAATTCGAGATAGCTGCTGCAAACGAAGGAGGAAGCAATGCTTGAGGAAGGGAGATGGAAAGCAGAAGCTATCCAATTACATTGAAAACAATAGTCTTAAGTGCTCGTGGCGGTCCGTTCTAGGCTACTCTCGATCCTGTAACGTCGATGCTTTTCCACGACGGTTTCTCGCTCTAGACAGCGTTATATTGTCGTGGCGACGCGCACGTTTGACTTCAAACGAAAGATTTTTATTCCATCCACGGTACACTACGTGATATAATATAATTTTCGCTCTTATTTCTCAAAGTCTTTTCATTATATTATTGTGAATAGTCGTATACAAATGTATTTATTTACGTGTAATATTTATATGCAAAACTGCTCAATATATTATTTATTTTCAATATCTTGTTAAATATTACGCATATATATATATATATATATATATATATATATATTTTAAATTTACAGTGATATCATTAGTGGCATCGATAATAAAATCGATTGGTTCTATCCCGTTTGGTTCTATCCCTTCATCGAATACAAATCCAAGACGAAAACGAGAGAAGAAGGAAAGACGGAATGAAACGCGCCGCGTTGCAACAGCACGACTCAGTGGCCAAACAAGCGATAAAATGAAAATGAGCGGTAAAAAGACAATATGAAAACCATTTGGGTTTTCCCGAGGGTTGGGGCAAGAACGAGCGAGGCGGAAGCGGGGCTAAGTGTGTAAATGAGTCCGTAGTTTAGCCCGATTGCCTCTAGACGACCCCTTTCCGCGGTGCGCAAACCTCATCCACGGCTCGCTACCCTGATAGCAGCACCAGTATAGCTGAAATAACCGTAGTCTTCCTGAGGAGCAAACTGCTCCCTAAGACAATTCTCGAGACAATGAGATCGTTCGTAGCCCGAATTCAAATCAGTACAAATAGACGATGGATTAAATGTCTATATTAGATGCGGAGCCGTTTCTTGAATTGATAGCTGCTCTGGACCATTTTCCAGGACCATTTTCGAAATTATTCAATTACGACACTAAATTGAATAACGTATCTAAACCTATCAATATAACACAAAATTGACCTATTTATTCGCAATAATTTACAAAATGTACCTATATCAGCCAAACTTTATAATACTCATTCGCGTTTAAGAAGTTATATAAAATAAAAATAATAATACAAATCTGCATACATTTTGTTCAACATAATTAATTCTGTTTCTTTATGATATAAGAGTATACATGTTGCGATTGACCTAATTTCATGAGCGAGAGCATAACAGACGTTATTACGTATCAAAAAGATAGACGCTATACAGTGGCTCTTTCAGTATCCTATTCGCGCACTGATCCGTAATTTCACTCGCAACGTTCCCGCGAGCGTGACAATTTGCTGGCGCATCGATTCGATGACGGGAACCGCGCGTGTGCTGCGTCAGGTCGTCGATGTTGGGACGGGTGGATGGATGCACATTGAAGCTCTTCCTGGCCTGGCCTCGTGTCTCTCCGTGTCCTTCGTAGCTCCGGGATGTTACCCCACCCTGTGGTAACCGGGGCTCTCAGTGCCGAATGACACGTCGATGACGACCGCTGCTGACTCCGGCTAACGAGCGGGGCGTTGAGGGCGTGGGAGCCACCAGAGATCGCGCCTCGTCATCACGCGCCTCGGAGTCCCCTCTTCCGCCTTGCGTCCAGAGAGAATTCATGTCGAGAGGATGAGGTCACAAAGTCCGAAGAGGTCACTACGGGTGGCTACGTCGATTTCACGTCACCCGATCATCGGATCGTGCGGATCGACCGATTGAAGCAAGAGAGAATCGAGTAGAATCCTTCGTGACTGACGAACTGA